TCACAGAATCATTGAGTCACAGAATGGTTTGGGATGGAAGGGACCTTAAACATCATCTAGTCCAAGGCAAGGACATCTTCCACTGGCCCAGGTTGCTCCAACCTGCCCTTGGACACTTCCAGGGATGGGGCAGCCACAGCTTTTCTGAGCAACCTGTGCCAGGGCCTCCCCACCCTCACAGGGAAGGACTTCTTCCTAATATCTTATTATCAATATCTTATCTTTCCTGCCCTTCTGAGCTGAGGCTCTGCACCAGCCTGATCTGGAGCAAACCACAGTGTGCCGGAGTTCAGGGAGCTGCCAGAATCCATGTCAGCCTGGCAGCCAGGAGCTAACTGAAATTCAGGGCTATCCCAGTGCTTCCAGGGATGCCAACTCAAGAGTCAGGATACTGGGCTCCCATGTCCCCATTTGCTAGAGCCTTCCCACAGGCCAGCCCCCTGCTTCAGCTTCTGTGTGCTGAGATAAAAGCCACAGTGATTTCCTCCACCAGCTCCCTGGCCACAAGGGAACTGAGATACTAAAGTGGTGAAGAGGTTGAGGAGCACCTTGGCAGTGGTGAACCACCTCATACAGAGAGCTGACACCACCTGCCATTGCTGGGTCTCAGGACCCACTGGGAATCTGGCTGTTATTTGGCAAAGATGATCTAACTTGTATTGCCCAACAAGCAGAGGGTGATCGAAATCTTTATAGAAAACATCTCACAAACTGTAAACAACACATTTTCTACACAGAGATAAAGATGGAGATTAATGCTTGAATTATCCTGGGTAATTAGTGTAGCAGGTAATCACTTAAAATCTGGCACATCTGTGAATACCTCACTTTGACTGAATTAGAAGGTGTTTGCAACTGCTACAGTAAGATGGCTTCAGTGATCCCATGGGAAATCTTTGTGGGAGATTAATCCTCACTTCAAAAGGCAGAGATTTGCAAGAGGATTTTGTGTCCAGGATGACACATTCACATTGTTGTAGGAAGCAAGGCCTTTTTTTCCCTCACAGCAAAGCCAAGTGCTGCTTTCTTTGAATTCATGTATTCTTTGAGCTTGAGGGCTCGGCCCTCTTCAGCAGAGTGTTTGAGAGCTGAAATGCTGAACAGTGCTTGAAAGAAAGTGATGACAAGAACAAGGGCAGAAGAGAGGACAATGAAATCCAAACTTGGTGTTAAAAATCCTAGAGCAACAAGGTCACACTTGCAAAGCTACTGGATGCATTTCTTTAGCTTATTATAAATGTTACAGAAAAGATGTCCTCTAAGAACACTTTGAGACAGGTCTGTGAGGATCCTGTCCTCGCTGCTCACATTCAGGCAGCTCCCAAAAATGTGCATCTTGCTTATGGTCCTGCAGTCACTGAGGAGACACCTCAAACCTGGAGCACATCTGGTGGAGCCACACTCACAGCCAGTGCAGTGACTGTTGTACTGGCTCAAGCTCATGAGTGCTTCAGGTTTGAATTAGGTACGGGATGGATGTTGAATCATGGTTCTCTTGCTACTCAGCACACAGAGCAGAGTTAGGGGAACTGTAGTTTTGTGTGCAGATTTTACTACTTACTGCACTAAAGAGAGCTCTAACCAAGAAAATGGTGGTTTCCAAGCACACAAAGACATTCTCAGTAAAACTGAAGTGTTTCTTTGCTATACATTTCCAACACAAAACTGCTGCCAGGAGCTCTCATCTGATTTGCTCGAGTTCGCAAAACATCAAGGTGAATAACTGAGACAGGCTGAGTTTGTAAATCCTGGGGAATTCACATCAACAGAACCAAGAAGGAAAGAAGAGATACTTAGAGCTTCATGCAGAGGGTCTGGTCTGGCTTTTAAGAGAGGTTATAGTGCACTTGTTTACTGAGATAGCACAAGAAGAAGTACAGGTGGGGTTGAAGCCAGCATCCATCAACCTCATTATGGACAGATCGACAGGGGCTTCTTCAGACCAACCACAAAATGTCCCCAAGGAGAAACTCTGCTAAGTTTCAAAACACTCAGCCCCTAGTAAAGCCCATGTAGTCATATAATCACAAAATGCTTTGGGTTGGAAGGGATCTTAGAGGTCTTCTTGTTCTAACCTGCCATGGCAGGGACATTTTCCACTAGATCAGGGTGCTCCAAGCCCCGTCCAACCTGGCCTTGGACACTTCCAGGGGTGAAGTGTCCCCTGCAGTTATTTTAAAATAAAAGAAAAAAAAGAAAACACCCTGTGCAGAAATGCTTTTTAGCCCTTTTTTTCCTTCCTTTCCCAGAAACAAGTTTGCAATCCCCAAGCTTGGGGTTTGCCTTACTCTTCAAACAGTATCCACTACCAAATTACATCTTCACAGGACATTCCCTTTTAGAATATGCTGGAGGAAATTGCTGCCCCACCAACCCCACCACTGACACTGGACCTTTGATGGACCTTTGTAGAAGGGAAGAATGAATTTATGACCTTCTCCAAACTACCTTCTCCCTTCTGAATCCTCAACAGGACATTCACACCTACTTCTGTATTGCCAAAGAAGTCAAAATATATGTTTCTATCCGTCATAACAGTCTTTGCACTCTCCTTGCCCTGAACTCCCTAGCTGTCAGTGCTGCCAGGTGTTTGTAGGTCCTGCTCACTCACTTCAGGGCTGTGTAACTCAACACTGATCCCACGCACTTGTTCCCCCCCCCAAAATGTTTTTAGATGCTTGAACCAGCAACACACCTCTGGTTGGCAGTGTTTCAACACGCAGTCACCACTGGGTTTTTCCTGGTAGTGAGCAGGGGAGGGTTAGGTTTGATATCAGGAAAAATTTCTTCACCAAAATAGTTGCCCAGCCCTGGCAGGAGGTGCTGTCCAGGGCAGTGGTGGAATCCCCATCCCCCGGGGTGTTTAAAAGATGTGTGAATGTGTCAGTTGAAGACATGAGTTAGTGGTGGGCTTGGCAGCGCTGGGGGCATGGTTGGACTTGATGATGCCAGAGGGCTTTTCCACCCTAATGATTCTGTGACCCTGTATCCAAGTGGAGCACAGGAAGCTGCAGCTCGGGCCCCTTCTCTAAGACAGATTTGATCTCCCACCTCCCAGGTGCCCCTGAGCTCACCTGGCCTGTGATGCTGGTTGTTCCTGTTCTGAAGACTATTTCAGCTCAAGTTGCCCAGACCAGGAAATGTTCAGGCAGAAAGATGGCCTTTAGGTCTGAGCAGGGAGCAGCCAGCCCTGCTTCTGGAAGAGCCTTTAACTCTGAGCAGTTATTAAGCAGAGTTGTCCTGTGGGCTGGTTGTCCCAAACCCAAATTCTGGGAAGGAGGAACAGCAGCTGCATGGCAGCAGCATGTCCTGCTCTCCCTGAGCTCTGCAGACCTGGTTGCAGCCTGCAGGTAGAGACAAATAAAGAAAACGTGAGCAGGAGTTGTTCTTTCTTTTTTTTTATGGTGGCAACTATTTCTACTGCTACAAATCACATTTTTTACTACCCAGAACTTCATTTCCACCAGGATCAACTTCTAACACTTCACAGTGATGCTGCAGTTTCTCTGTTTATGGGTCTGACTGTGTAAGAGGAAAAAGGGGCATGTCAGGCTGCATCTCTGAGGCTACGTGTGGCCTGCAAACAGCCCTTTTGGTGAGCTGGCATGGCACAGTAGTGTTCTGGGCTGATTCACACTGTCTGCAGAGACAATACACTCCTGGGCCACTGAGACAGTCCTTTTAAATCGAGAGCTGTGCATAATTTGAATGCACTGTTAAAATGGAGTTCAGCTGCACCTCACTGTCAAAATGAGAGCATATTTTACCCGTGTCAGAGCACTGGAGTGTAGCCAGAAAGCCAGTGTAGTAATTTTTTGGGCATGATGTTCAGCCATATTTTATTAAACTCCCTGTTCTACACTTCACTGCTTGGCTCTGTGAGCTGCAGCCGAGCATCCCTCACTCAATAAGCTGCTTGTTCCATCCTTGTTGAAATCTCCTTGTAAAATTAAAAACCCCACACTGTCCTTTTCTCCCACCTTGCGCTGTTACTTAGCCTGAATCATCATGGCTTTGGTTTAATCTCATGTCAGATACTGTTCATGTAAATGCAGAACAGCTGAAATGTCACAACCATCAGCATGAGATCTGCTTTGAATTGCTGCAGCACCTCTCTGAGGCCCAGCTGTAGGCACTGCCTCTGCCCTGATGTTCAGGGAATATGCAGTTTGTTCCTGGGCAGAGCAGCCCGTTGGCTCCATGGACTGGATTGCAGACAGATGATGTGGGGAGCCCAGTTTTGAAGTCTGTAAGATCAGTGTTTTCTGTATTCCTTTCCTGGGGACTGTATAGACCCTGTGCCTCTCCATGCAGCTGTAAAATGATGCTATGAACTTCCCACCTTCACTTGATAGGGATGAAAAGCACTAGAGCAAGCAAACTATCACAGTGATAATATAATGTAAAAACCCCACCAACCTAAGAGTAAAATGTCTCCCAGCTTCTGGAAGGATAATGCAGAGGCAAGATGTAAAATATGGCACACACATAAAATGTGTCACTTCCTTATAAGAGCAGAATTAATGGATGCTACAAAAAAACAAATCAAAAAACATTATGAAAGATCTTTTTTCCAGGAAAGAGTATGAGAATTCATTGGATTTAGACATGAGAAACAATGGTTTTTGATAATGAAAGTGCTAGCAAAAAATAAACTAAGAAATGTGTTTTCGTGCTTCTTGGGGAACTTTCGTATTGGTGAACTTGTATTGTGTGAATAAGCACAACCTCTTAAGGACAAAGATGGGCTTTAACACTTGAAATTCTCTTTGCTGGATGTTGCTGTCCTCTCATTTCTCAGTGGTTGGTATTTTTACACTCCAGATACGTTTCACACCAGTTCTTTAAGCACACCCCGAGCAAGGGAGATGGAAGAAGCAATACTGCTTTGCCTGCAGCTGGAGAAATCCTTTATTGCTCCCGTCACCTCCTCGGCTGTGGGTATTCACTGCAGGAAAACCTGCCTGAAGCTGCTGATGGTCTGTGTCCTTCCCTCACAGGACCACGCAGACATCGAATGGAAGTTCGCACGGACGAAGCTCTGGATGAGTTACTTCGACGAAGGTGCCACTCTGCCCCCTCCCTTTAACATTGTCCCCAGTCCCAAGTCAGTCTGGTACCTTTGCAAGTGGATCCACAACCAGCTGTGCCCAGGTGATGACTCTGACAATGAACAGAAGAGGCATGAAAACCTCAAAACATTCACAGTAAGGAGCTCATGGGTTTGTACTTCATTTTTTGAGGGTGTTGTGCATGTTCAGGATCATGAGGGCCACTGCTGTGCTGGGGCAGCAGACAGCTGCTGGATCATGACTTGCTAAGAGCCATTAGGAGCTCTAAAGACTGGAGCAGACAGGTAACACCCCCGTGTCTCTCTCCTTCCAGGAACGACACGCTGACAACCTGATTCAGAATCAACACTACCAGGTAAACTCTTGAGCACGTACAGTTTTTACTCCCTGTTTCTTTCTTCCTGCTCATTTTCTAATACTTCAATTCTTGCTTGCTTCTAGAATATATTTTGATAAGTGTAGGTCCTCTGAGAGGATTTTGCTTATCACAGATTAAAACATTTCCTTACTGGAGGTAGATGGTTCAGTAAATCTCTCCTTGCCTTTCAGCCCCCTTGAGCAGTGGAAAACTTGCCAGGTATCAGTCTGGCTGCTGAAGCAAAGGTGACATCCCTGTTGCCCTCTCAATTAAAACTGTTTCTGTGCATTTTTACACTCTTGAATTGTTCCTCTCCTGCTCTTTTTTGTAAAGCATCCCTAACTCAAACCGTGGTTGGGATTTTCTTTTGTTTTGGATGGCTCAGAAAGAAGGAATGGTTCCTTTGTTGAATCTTGCTGGTTTTGTTTATTCTCAGCCTGCCTGTCATCAAGGACTCATTAAAGCCAACCTACAAATGGATGAAACTTTATTAAAAACACCAGCTTCAGACCTTGAATTCAGTGGGATGTATTATGCCAGCATGCTGGAAGGAAAAAAAATTCTGCAGAATGTTAGGTGGTACATTAGGCTCTACTGCCAAAAGACATTGGTAATTTGTCTTACTTAAGACATCTCCTACCTTTGGAAGAGTACTTTTATCTGAAGTTGATTGTTAACAAAATTAGTCACCTTTGACAACAGATGCTTTCTGACTTCAGAGCACAGCTTATGGGTAGCAACAGTGGGATTTCTTAAAAACCTCCCAGCAAAACCATCTTCGTGCTTGGTGTCGCTCAGACTGGTTATCCCTGTTCATGAAGTGGGGGAAATGAAGGGCAAGTTTGTCCATGGAACACACACAGGGAGCCTTGGTGTATGTTGGCTGGCACAGGTAAATGTTCGAGCTCAGTAAAGCCATCAGGGAGGTACATGAACAGAGCAAAATGGAGCTCATCCAGCCAAAAACATGGAGTGTAGCCAACATCCCAGGTGACACAGGGCAGTGAGAGCCCGGGGAGAAGTCACTGAGGGTGTGATTCAGTCCTTCCAGTGCCGCCCACTGACACTGCAGCCACCCTGAAGGGAGTTTCTGACCTGCCTTTAGGGCAAACAGAGGCAGCTGGCAGATGTGCTTTGAGGTGAATGCCCATTGCACCGTGGGGTTCTGGCTGCTTTTCACGTCATTTGCTGCCAACATACCCTCCTTGGCTTTCAAATACTTTATAAACATCTTCAAATGCCAAATTTAGCCTGTCAGGATACACAAAATATACACACGAGATTGGTGATTCTAAAAACTTTCAGCAGCTGAGATCAAATGGCTCGAGCACATCGAAGAACAACAAGAATTTTTTCTCAACAATTTTTACATATACAAACCCCAGGACAAAACACCTGCTTAACCTGCAGCCAACAACTGAGCATCCAAGATGGAAGGTATATCAACCTTTCCCAGGGTTTGCTCTGTTTAAAAGGAAGCATTCTGTTTCTAATGGTGAGTGATTTTGGTTTTAGCCAGCAGAGCCAGGACAGCTGCTGTTTGTAAGAGCTCAGGGAAATACAGTCAGAACAATTTGTGCTGAGCCAGCAGTTGAATCACTTGGATTGTTTCCTATTCCAGGAAGTGATAAGAAATCTTGTGAAAAGATATGTTGCAGCAATGATAAGGACTTCCAAAACCAACGAAGGCTTAACTGAAGAAAATTTCAAGGTAATTTATTATTCCTCAATAATAATTTATTATATTAATTCAAATAGCCACTTGCAGAGTTTGCACTAAATTGTTAAGCTGATTTGTAACGTGTGGAAATAGGACTATGACTGGAGCTGGGAATATATCTAATAGGCATGTGGGGAATTTTGAGCAGAGAATATTACTGAGTGTCTTCTCATATGATCACCTCCCAGATTTTAATATACAGTATGTTATATCAAGAAAAGTGTTAGAAAAGGGTAGGAATGAAGTATGTGATTTGTGTCAACATCATGTTCCTAATCCTAATGCAGACAGAGCCAAAGAATGAGTCGGGCTTAATGAAAATCAACACTCATTAACAAAATTCAAGTTGGGCCTATCAGCTAAACAGGATTCCTGCCATATTTCTGCATTTCAGCAGCCTTCCCTCTTCTATAACTGTCTTATTTGACATTTTGGGGGATCAGGGTGGGCAGAGGAGGTTGATCAATGAGACCAAGTCCCCCCAGCCTTTGGTGACAAAGACCTTGTGAGGTCTCCAGTTCCCTGGCTTACCAAGACATTATTGTTTGTGTATGTGGTGTTGTGAGTGTGATTTGATATCAGCCACTGACACAACTGACCAGCTCTCCCGAGGGAACGTGACCATTCATGGCAGATAAAGCTGCTGAGAGTAACTTGTTTCTCCTCGTGCCCTAGGAATTAAAACAGGACATCTCAAGTTTTCGCTATGAGGTTCTTGACCTCTTAGGAAATAGAAAGCCCCAGAGGAGGAGTTATTCAACCAGCAGCACAGAGGTGTCCCAGAAGGATGAAACAAATGAGGACGGTGCTGGAGAAAAATCCAGAGCCAAGAGCGTGTCTTTCAATGTAGCCAACAAAAAAAAGGACTTCAATGTATCTGCTCTGATTAAAACCATGTCTGGGATCGATATTGTGGAAGAGAAGCCAAAAAGCAATGGGATCAGTAAGCGCTCCTTTGTCCGAAATGGCAACAGAGTTCAGAGACTCTCCAGCTCCAAGAAGGAATCCTTCAAGAGACTGGGCCTGCTCTTCTCCAAGATGAATGGACACGTACCTGAACCCAGTTCAGAACCCATGTACACTATTTCAGATGGAATTATTCAGCCACACTACATGTGGAAAGACATTAAATATTCTCAGATTGATAGAGAGAGAGAAGAGAACTGTTCCAGAAGTGAGATTAACCTCAATGAGGTGGCCTACAGTGGGAACACGAGACTTACAGGACAGAGCAAGGAATGTCCTGTGGTTTGTGCCAGCTCCCTTCACTGTGCTTCCAGTATTTGTTCCTCTAATTCCAAACTTATAGACTCGTCAGAGGACGTGTTTGATTCCTGGGGAGAGGCCTGTGACTTGTTCATAAACCAGTGGAAAGATGGACAGGAGGATCACGTTACCACTCGGCTCTAAGTAAAACTATCTTAACGCTCACTGGAAAACCTACCCAAGAATTGGTAATTGTTTGCTCTCATCTGATTCAGCATTACTGTTCCCTTTCTGTCCACAGGTGAAAAAAAAGTGTAAACACACTTATGTTAGCCTATTTTATAACCATCTGCACATTTTTTAATTTATTTTTGTACACTCGCTAATACTAAACTAAAGGTTTCACCATTTATAAGGTCACTATAAACCACAGGAATCCCTTCAGATGTAGTCTTAGTCTTCAAACCCCACAGACTTCAGATGCACTGGTGGCTGAGGAAAGGATTTCTCCAGTGGTCCCACCATCATTCCACCACAGGTGGGTTTCCCTGCTGTCCAACACCGTTGGCTCTGTGTCCTGCTCAGTTTTCCTCATCAGCACGACCAGATGATGAGCAGGAGGATGAGAACCACATTTAAAATCTTTTTAAAAAGGGTTTCACCTTATAGCCGGTCCTTTGTTTCCTTTAAGCAATATGACTTCTGTTTCTTTTGGCTGTGCGTGTTTTTTCAGGTCATTACATTAAATTGTAAATTGTTATTGAATGCAAGACCCCTTTGATCATCCAGCTGGAACATGTTATTATTTGCTTATTTGCCTAATTTGCCTTTTAGGGAGCAGAAAGACCTTCCAGTTAGGCTGACAGTGGGAACCAGCACCTGGCTTTGCTACCAACTTCTGTGTAGCTGCTTGAAATACAAACCTGTGTGTAGTTTGGCTGAACCAAAACCCAGCTCTAAGCCTTGCCCTTGTTTTGCAATTCCTAATCTTATTTCCACCACTGCATTCACTTTTTGCTGTATCTCTGATGGATGTCAGGCTTCAGGGAGAAAACCATCCTCCCTGTGTACGGCAGGTGCTAAGAGGGATCATCTTCCCTGGGCCCCTGAGCTGCATTTCTGAAAAGCAGCCTAAGTAGTAGAGGCTCAAACTGCATCAGCAGCACGGAATGGCTCTGCAGCTCCTCTTCTGAGGTGCAGCAAAAAGGAGTGTGGCAGTAGGTAGTATCTTTTATCTCCCCAGTTGTGGCAGTGGTAGTGTCTGTGGCTTACCACTGTCACTACTTTAGTTCCAAGGAGCAGCAGAGCGGGGAGAAGACAAACCTCATCAAGGGCAAAATGCTTGAATTCTTAACAGTGATTTTTAGTGGTTTGTTTGTTTTTTTTTTAATTTTATTTTTAACAATGTGATACTTGAACTTTCTTCTGCAGTGTTGCTAAGAAACACTTTACCACCACTTCAGAGCTGTTATTAGTCAGCTGCTTTCTTGGAGGAACCAAGTCCTGAGGAGGAGCTCAGGAAGGGCTTTGTTCCTGCCCTCGTGCAGGGCTGTGTTCCCAGGAGAGGTTCTGTGAGCTGCAGCATTTCCCAAGGGCGGCTGCCAAAAATCACCTCATCTGTGAACTGAGCTGTGAGTTGCCTTTGGAAAAGCATAGTGCTGGAAAATCTGCTCCTGCCATTGCAGTGGGTCAGATTTTACCAGCAAGGGGCACCAGCAGCTCTTGTGGCAGCACAAGAGAGGAGAGGGGTAAGGGTTGCTGGGACACCTGCAGCTGGATGCTCTGCCCAGGTTTTAAACCTGGCTCCCTTCTTTTGTGAAGGAAAACCACCTTGTTGGGTTTTTCCTTTGGGCACCTGTGCAGCTTCATGTAATGGGCCCTACAGAGCACAGAAATCAAGCAGGAATGTGAATGATGCAGCCAGTTCCTGAAGCAGAGCTGCAGGTGCCAACACACTGGACTCGTGGAAGTTTCCAATACAGACCTCAAAATACAATACAGCCCTGGTGTCAAGAAAAATCAGCAACTAGGAGCAGAGACTCAAAAATGTTTCTGTATTCCTAGAGTGAAATGACCCCAGTCTTGTTAACAGCAGGCAGTGTAAAACCCAAAATATTTAAGCCTCTAGATGTGTTAGCTAAAGGCAGAGTGAAAGGCATTTTGTATCAACAGATTTCAGGCTTTCATGCTAATTGCAGGGTTAGAGTTGTCTTTGAAAACTGCATCTCCTCTTCCTTCATGGAAGGCTGAGCAAAGTGACATTTGCGCTACACAAGGAGACTTGCAAAATTCAAGGGTCAGGAACAGCTTGGTGATCATTCTGTGAGGAAATCCAGCACTCCTGTCTCTTAGAAGCAAATCCATCAGTGCAGGAAAGCTGCAGTGAGAACCCACCAAAACTAATAGAGCAGCTCACACTTAAAGTTCAATAAAGCAAACCGAGCACATTTCTGTAAAGATGAACATTAGCAGGAGCTGCTGCAGGGGCATGAAGGAAAGGGTTTGAATCCTTTGATGCCTCACCTAACCACCCTGCAGATCTGTGAAGTCTACTTGACACGGGGCCAGCAAAAATTTTTGGTATTTCCTGTGTAAGGAGTAAGAATGAAAACAATTCAAGGACAGTTATGCAGATTACACCAAATGGGCTTGAGGCTGTGCCAGAAACAGAGTTTGTGTCCTTGGACAGTGGAAAGTCTTAAGAACAAGCACACTGCTACTGGTGATGATGATATTGTGTCATTTAAACACAGCACTGCATTAACAGGTACAGACAACAAAACGAAACGTAATTAACTCTGCAGTGCTGCCCCCAAAAATGTAAAAATCCCTTCCATGCAAACTGTGTGAGTCATGTTCTCCTGCTGTGGCCTGAAAGGGCAGGTGTCAGGAGGGATAAAACTGTCTGCAAACCCCCTTGTAACGCTGTGCTAAAGGGGGAAGGTACATCACATGGCTGCTCAGCTGGGGCTCCCCCGGGGGTTTGTTTCATGACTCAGATCCTTCCTTGCTCCCAGCTATGAGGGAGTCTGAGCTGACTTTAATTTAACACAAATATTTGATTTGGCTGTGATTAATGCATGTGTCCAGGAGTTTGCAAACTGTCAAATTGGTCCCCCAAAAGGCAAAATTCTCTGTGATTGCATCTTTGCATCCCCAGTGGTAGCAATAGACTTCATAGCAGCTGATGAATTATTATTTTGCTAAAACAGGAGCTTCAGGGGAAGGAAATTGAAGTATCTTCTGCAAAACACATTTGATTGAAAAAACCAACCCCGGTTGCAGTTACAGTATTTGAGATTTCACCAGCATTCTTCCATTTTCAATTGCTCAAAAAGAAAACACGTTTTAGTGCGAGTTATTCTCAGTGAACAACCACTGTGCTGTCCCTGCAAGAAGCAGGGTGGGAGCCAATGGGACATCGAGTTTCTCCTGTGAGGAGTTAAACTTTTCCTTGGCTTGGGTTCAAGATACACAGCTGAGCTCCAACTGGTACACACTTGGCCTTTATTCTCTGGGCTTCAAGACTAATCCATAAATATATGCAAAGAATTTGGAATTAGGAATAACAGAGATCTCAACCACTTGCCCTTCCTTAGGTTTCTTGCTCTTGAAGTTGCATTTTTTCTCACCTCCCAGCCCAGTGTCATTTTCACTGGCTTTTTAAAGCAGCACACCTGCAAATGGTCATGGAATCATGGAGCTGTTTGGGTTGGAAGGGACCTTAAAGTTCTTCTTGTTCCAACTCCCCTGCCATGGGCATGGACACCTTTCACTAGACCAGGTTGCTCTGAGCCCCATCCAACCTGGCCTTGAACATTTCCAGGGATGGGGATCATCAGCAATTAAAAAGTTAACAAATACCACCCAGGGTTTAAGAACATCAAGTAGAATTGTGAGATGTTTGTACTCAGGTGAGAGATCACATAAATCGCTTCAGGAACAAGACGTTAACTGGCACATCTGTGCAGATGATTTGGGTGACTGCACTGGTACGTCCCTCACTCACTGGCAGATCTGTAAATACTCTGTACCTGTACCTGTGACCCCGCAGAGGAAGCAGGGGCAGTGGGCAGAGCCGGGGGGGAGCAGGGGGAGCTGAGCTCTGCTCCCCGCTCTGCCACCGACTCACCCGTGACCTTGGGCAAGTCACTCGGCCTCCCGAACGCCTCAGTTTCCCCATCTGTAAAATAGGGATAATAACAACACTTACCTACCTCGCAGGGGGGGTTAGTTCATTATTTATAAGCACTTTCAGATCTTCAAATTAAAGGCGCTATATACAGCAAGTAGTTAATATTCGTAGTGGTAGTATGTACTTTTATTTTCTTACAACTAATTCAGGTTAGGATTTAACTGTCTGTCCGTTAGGATAGTTTTCCATGTAGGGAACTAGCATGGTTTCCCATGAAGGGAATTTAGGGGACTTCTGCAGTAGACAGAGAGCAGGAACAGCATACCCTGGAAGCCTAAATTCTGACACCCTTGCTTTTGTTATTTATGTCTCGCCCTTAATGTCACCTTCCTGTATTTGTGTTTCATCCTTTTTCCAACAGTCCATGTAACATGATTTTTAGCAGAAACAGCCACTGTAAATATTAAAAATATTTAAATAAATATAATAATGTACAAATATAAACATAAACCCTTACCTTCTAAGGAGGTTAAAATTGGTTGGTGCAACAGACTTCTAAGCATGGGGAGGTTCCACAGGCCCAGCACTGATGCACGTGCACACCAGGATACTGGAACAGGGCTATAGGAAAATTTCACCACATCACCATCTCCATAGTAGTCACTTTTCAACCTATCACTGGCAAGGGCAGCAAGTCACCTGGGTGTGACTGGTGTCACTGGAGCAGGATGGCTCTGCTGCATGTTCTGCCCCAAGAGAGGGTAAAGGCAGCTCCTGGACCCCGACCTCAGGTAGCAGAGTGTGGCCAACACAGTGCTGCTGGAGGAACCATCCTGGACAGCAGGAGGATGTCTCCTGCATCCCTACAAAGGGCCTTTCCCCCCAGATTTCTCTGTACAATTCATTTTCTTCAGTGCTTACTCAGGATAAAGGTGTGAGGTTTGAGCAGCAGGAGCTCCAAGATCTGACTGGCAGAGTAAGGGCACTATGAGCATTCTAAGCTCCATTCCAGGAATATGAGGAGTTGCAGGTAATGTGCACTGGCTATCTGGACATCACTAATGGTGTAAGATATCTTACAAAGCAAAGATGTCTGGACAGTTACTAATGGCATAAGCAAGGATCTGACTGCTGGGTTTTCAGGCACCTGCTGCTCTTACACCTCTGAGTGTATGTTCTGCTTCCCTGGGGACTTCTCACCTTTGCTTTGGTATTGTTACTTTTCTTTCCCAAAGGCCAAAATCCCAAAGAATAGCATATTTCAGTTAATCAGGAAGAGGTTCAGTTTTGGTTTAACTCCTGGCTGAGTTCTCCTTCAACAAGTTAACTCGTCCTGTCCCTCAGACATGTCTGTGAGAAAGCTCTGCACAGGCTCAAAGGCTGATCTCCAAAGAAACAGGAACCTCCTCCCACCTCTGTTGCAATTCCACACACAGAATGGCTAAAAATAAGCAAAAATATCTGACCCACCAGGGATGCCTAGAATTAATGAAAGTTGTTACTTAACTAAGAACTCCCTGGAGCTGGTTTTGGGGTGGATGGACTGCAAGGACCTCTCCTTCCCAAGAGGGACTCTCTGGGCCCTCCAGCACTGTACCCCCAGCTGAGGCAGGTGAGATGGCTGGTCACACCTTCCCAGGTGTGCTGGAAGCATCAGACACTCTAATTCATGTAATGGTAAAATTAATTGGAATCAGTGAGACTACAGTGGATAATAAATCCACTCACTGGAGAAGCATCTAAAATAAACTGTTCCCAGTTTGCAGTGAATGTGTAACTTGAAAGAGCTATAAAGTCCCTCCCTTACTGGATTTTTCTGGAGGAGGTGGGGACCACACTGGGCTAGCCACATCAGCATATTTCCTAAATATCTGTAATTTGATTAAATTTCATTTTCACACTCTTTCCCCATTTCAGGCCATTTTTATGAACAAGTAATTTCTGTACTATTCACATAACTGCCTCCACCCAGACCAACTACTTTTTGTTTGATCCTCATCTTCCAAACATTTGATAGTATTTTGTGCTTCATATAAATACTTTTACCCGCTCTTTTTTTTTTTTTAAGGTGTGCAAAGCAAAACCAACCCCCAGCCATAACAGCAATAGAGCCTCCTAACAGAGCTCAAACCACTTGCAATTTTAACAGCCAGACTGATCCTGCAGTTCCTCCCTCGCAAACAGAATCACAGAGTGGTTTGGGTTGGAAGGGACCTCTGGAGATCCCCCAGTCCAACCCTCCTGCCAAGGCAGGGCCATCTGACAGACCCTTCTCAGTCAATACCCACCAACTACAGGCGCCAGTGCAGTTCCCCCTGCCTGCCATGTCCTCTGCCAGCACGGCTTATTTTAGTTATTTGGGGGATTTTTTCATTTTCCTCTCCCATTTAAAGCATTTCCATCTCAGCAGTAACTCCTAAGCCAGAAGAGATGCTGTGCTTAGGACTGTGACCTGTCAAGGAGCTGGCCTTTCAGCACGTTAGCTAACAGAACACTGTGATACCTTCAGCCAACAGAGCGAGATGCCTTTTGACTATAAATAGTTGTTTTGCAGCAAGGGGGCACTTTTTGGTCTAGCTAATTTTTTGGGTATTGTACAGTTATTTAAAAAAACTACCGAATGTGTTAATGAGGTGGGCCTGGGAACTAGAGGGCTAAGGATCTTTGAGGAGCAAAAGACAGTAGCAGATGCTTAAGTACTCTATTTTCTATCTGGTGAGCCCTGGAGACCGGGCTGACTCTAAAAACGGTTTTTTAAGAAATCAAATTTTAATATCAAATACTCATTTCAAAAAAAGCTACCACAGAAACGGCTTCACAGCGGAGCATATTTTAAAATGCCATTTTACTCCACTGGATAAAAAAAGGTGAGGCTTTTTTTTTTTCCTCCTCTCCTTCTTCTTTAGTTTTGGTCAAAAACTAAAGTTTTTTCCAGGCAAAAGAGCTATTAGATGTAAGAATCTGTGTATGTAAAGACAGAGTGGCAACCTCAGCATTTGCCAGTTAAGTGGTAATAGCCACCTCTGGAGAAAAGGGGGAGAAAAGGGCAAGAGCAAAAAGCAAAAACAAATGCTTAGTTTTATGTACTTTTCTACTTGCATCTCTTCCATCTGTAGTGCAGAATCCATGTCATACCCTCGTATAACCTGTACAAAATGAAACAATGTACATAATAGATAAAATTATTTATTTTATGTGTATTTTTAGCTTAACTGTAAACTGGAAAAAAAAAAAAAGGCATTTAATTTTTTCCCAAAAATGTAAGCCTATTGAAAATCAAGGTGTTTCTACCTTTTCAAGATGTAACATTTCCAGCTGCCTATTGATAATAAACATTTATGAACAGCAACAGATCTGACATTTTACAGTTTTTTAAAAATGTGTGCAGCACAGACTTCTCAAGGGCTCTCAGTGGGCAGAGGAGCACTTAAGGGCTCTCTATAAAGACTTTATTGGTATTTTCATTAAAAAAGCCATGACACAGTCCTGCTTACCTCCTGTGAAGTTGGTCACCCAAATTTGAGCAAGTGCTTATGGGCAAGAACTAGACAACACCTAGCTGGGGAAAAAACCCCAAACAAGCCCAAAGTATTAATTATATCCTGGCTACAACAGAAAAGAGCAAACCACTACAAGTGTTGGTAAATAAAGTGCATTGCCTGAATGCAATTAGTCCTGTACAAAGAAGTCTAAGTAAGTGTAATTTCATTTTAATTTCCTCCCCGAAGATATCCTTAGACCAGCACAACTACATGGGCCACACTGGAATATACAGCAATATAGCTAATAGCATAAGAGAGTCATTAAGCAACAACTTCTAACTGTGTTAACATAATTTGCTTATGGAAAGCTGTCCTCCAAGCAAATCTCATTGAAGCACTGGAGATACATTTCAAAAGGTTTCCATCCACCACCAGAGTCTTTTGGTCAAGCCTCCAGTGAAACAAGAGTTCCCTCAAGTTAAACAATGGCAATATCCCTTTCCTTGGAATGCAGAAGATTCCTGCACGAGGGAGACAATGCTGACACACGGAGAAATGTTAACACACTGTCCATGGCAAAAGCTGCAGCAGAACCCAGCACCACAGTGATCTATGGCTACAGAATTTTAAACACTCAAACAAAGACTAAAGGCTGCTACCCTTTTTTTTTTTAACAGACAGGGACTTTCTGAAGTTAGGTGGGCACATTCCCACTCGCATCAGAAAGCCAAGAAGTTCAAAGTTAAGGCACTGTGAATTCACAGCTGTGCTTCCTACAGCAGAAGCAGGGACTGAACTTCACATGACAGTGACTTCCCCCTGCTCTGTGCCCCTGCAGAGCAGACAGATGTTCTGCAGCAGAAAACACCAGAGCTGACCCGGGATGTGGGAGACAGGGGGACTGAGCACTGGAACAGATTGCCCAGAGAGGTTGTGGAGTCTCTCTCCCTGGAGATATTCCAGAACCCTCTGGATGCAATGCTGTGCAATGTGCTCTAGGGTGACCCTGCCTGAGCAGGGAGGTGGGACCAGATAACCCACTGTGGTCCCTTCCATCCTGACCCATTCTATGAAGAAGCTTTGCAGTGTATTTCATCTCCTCTTACTTGCACTTCCTCAAAAGTTACACAAATCACACATTCACAT